TTGGTACAAGAAGTTTGTTCAAAATTGTCAAAGTTCCTCAAGGCATTTTTCTTGATCTAGGAGCTAGGGTTTTGAACTTCAAAGAAGTATATCTTGCTCATCTTTTGGTATTTTGGAGTGATTCTAAATACATCCTTATCTTAAAAGGGTTATCAACAAATCACTTCAAAAGTTCCAAGGAGTTTTCATGTGTAAGAAACTTGATGAAGAAGAAAGATTACAAGTCTTCTAGATGAATCCCCAATTTTTCATATGTGACTTCAAATGATCATAACTTGGTCAATTTTTATCACCTTGATCCCATTATTTTTCCACAATGATCTTGAGGATGTGGACATTATTCCTTCTTTTATATGCAAAGTGAGAAAATATATGGAAGTTGCCTTAAGGATACAAAAGATTATAGGTCATTTCATGATTTTTTTCCAACTTCAACAATTAATAACTCTCTCAATTTTTGGATATTTTTAATGGTTCAAGTCCAAAAATGTCATTCAAGAGGTCTATTTCATGCCATCTTTTTTAGTCAAGAGCAAAATCCAAGTGGAAGGCCATGTTTGGATGCAAGACATTATAGGTCACTTTTGAAGAAAAATTTGAAATATTTCTAAGTATGGAAAGTCAATCCTTTTTCTCTAACTTTGACTCAACACAACTTTCACCTCAAGCATCCATTTGATTCCATTCTTTTTCCATTGTAAAGCTTGTAACCTCATATTTCTAAAGCATCAAGAATCATGCCCTAAGAACCCTTGAGTTGAGAATGCCATGATTTGGAAGTTGGTAACTTGGAACTGAAGTTCCATCATAAGTCAGATTTTGAAATATTTGTTTTAGCTTCTAATCACAAGTTTTCCACGCGTTTTTGCCTCTAAACATGTTTAGTGAACTTCCAGAATGGATTAGCACAACAAAACACACGTTTTGGATGAGTTTTGATCAAATTAGAAGTCACACTTTTCTTGTTTGCAACTTCACACGATTTCCCTCCAAACTTCATCATTTCATACACTTGGACATTCTATTTGATTCCCTATAAATAGAGGGTCATCCCCCATTCATTTCCTCAAGCTCGGATAGCCAGAATCACCCTGCCAAACGTGTTCCATAACTCAAAATTCATCAACTTCGAAATCTATTCTCAAGCCTTTTTCAATCCAATTTTTCCATCAATTCACCTTCCTTGATCTTCCTTGAAGATAACCATATAATTACATTCAATAATCGTTCCCTATATTGCTCCATAGAAGTCCAGTTTCAGAGCTCTGCAACTCAACTTCAATAGGTTGATTCCTTCATCAATTCTTCAAAAGTTTGATATCATTGTGATGCTCTCATTGCCCTGGTTCTAGTCGCAACACTTGCTTTTTAATGGAAACACATTTTGACCATGAAATTTTAAATCCCTTTTTCAAAACTTTCCTTCCAAATTGCTTGAGCTATAATTTATATAAATTTATCGCAAAGGTGTGGTTGTTTTCGTCTTGAAGAGACGAAGCGAATGCCATAGGTCTCGTGCTCTAATTTTACAGATTGAGCAACCTAGTTTTGGGACTGGCTGGAGGTTGAAGATGACCAACGTGTCATCTTACAACCAATGAAGACGTGTCGTCTGTGTTTTTCAAAAACCTGATTTAATTAATGATCCTATGCATTATTCACTAAAGTCCATAACATGCACAGCGCGCCAGGTCCACTTGATCTATTTACTAATGCGTTTTGACATTGATCATATGGCCCACATTTTTTTTGTTTTTATTTTCTTTTTTGATTTTTATATTTATTTGTTTTAAACTTCAAAAAATCATAGAAAAATTATTTTTAGTCCAAAAAATCTGGAAAAATTATGAAATTTTTTTTTGATTATTCTCTTTCTGATTTTTATTTTTTCACAAATTTATTTTGTGTTTTGGTATTTTTTATAAATTTTCACTTTATTTGATTTGTTTTAAATGTTTAAAAATACTTTTATGCATTTGTAAATTCTAAAAAAAATTATGGGATGATCCAATGATATTGTGACAAATATTGGTGACCTTATTTTATTTTTGTTTCTGACTTTGTTATTTATTTTTTATCATTTTTGGTTTATTTTACTCATTTCTTTTAATTTTAAAAATAGTTTCTGACTTTAAAAAATTACCAAAAAAATTATAAAATCGTTTGAGTCCTTTTCTGATTTTTCTATGGTCTTCTTTTTATTTATTGATTAATTTGAATATAGTTGATATTTTTCTCTTTTATTTCTATTTTAAAACATCTTGTTAAACCTTTTTTTTGTATATATTAAATGTAATATTATTTTGTGACTATTTGCTGGCTGATCTTAGGTTACATTTGTTATCATGAACTTTATTAACATCATTGGATCCATGGTGTTGAGTCTAACTCCACAAAAATGGATGAATGATTTTAATAATGGTTTGATTAAATTTAATTCAAAAGTGGTTTGTATATTCTCTTCCACCCCTCTTCATCTCATCCCTTTCTTATTGCACTAAGTGTTATTGGAGCATGATCTCTATATCATGTCTCAAAACAAATGGTGCATAGATTTCTATTGACCAGCCTCAAAATAGGTGCTACTTCTATATAAGTCCACTTACAATTGCTTAACATAGCGCTAAATTTTGTCCCAGTTCGAATAAATGATCATTCATGGCCCAACCTTATGTTTGCAAGTCCAAGTATGTTAATTTGATCTCTTTCATCCAATAACCTTGAGATTCATTGTGTGGAGGCTTTGGTTCTACCAATCCTCTAATGGATCTACAACACCTTTGTTGCACCCCAAAATTTGCCCTCCTAATTTCTTTTATTTTAGCTTAGACTTTTGCATTCATCTGCATCTATTCCATTAGGTCACTAACATGGCATAAATTTCATTCAATATAGCTCTGAGGTTCAAAGTTCAGTGGTTGTGTGATATTAGCGTTTCGCAATGGTTAAGGCGTTCGTATCCAATAAAGACTGATTTCTTATTCAGGTAGTGAGCAGTGGAATTAGGGTTGTGACTTTGGCCGTTGAGCATTTCTTTCTTCATCAAGCCGCGAGGCTATTAGGGTTTATTTCCCCATAAGTGATCAAAGCCAGGTTTTTGGCAATTGTGTTCCAATCGGGTTTTTCGTCAAAGATCATGAGATTAAGGTTTGTTCTTATCAAGGGACTTTCTCAGAAAGCTTTATATTGTGCGTCAGGAATTATCATCTTCAAAGGAATTTATTAAGGATTTTAGCCTTACGTTTTCAAGTGGACATGTTTGTGACTTGAATTACAAAAGTTGAAGCACAATATAAGATATGACGCGGGAGAGTGCTAATTGAGTTAGACAAACATGAATAAAGGCTTTGATTTTGGGCAATTGCAATATGGATAGGTTGTTGTCTGGACTGAGTTCATGCATGAATATTATTGATTCGATTGAATGTTATGACATGTCTTGAGTTTAAGACTAGTTCATTGAATATGCAAGTTGGTTGGAATTCGTTCACCGAGTCATGAAGTGAAGTGCTTAAAGGATAATCAAATGGTACTAAAGAAGTCTAAGCATTGGTTTATTTTCGAGATTTCGATTCAAGCGAGTTTGGAGACCTTAATCATAAGGGTTTCTTGGAATGCAAAAAGATGAGATACAAATGGCAAGGCATAGTCATTCATTATAATTCCATTCAAGTGGTTATTTTGATTCAAGTTGTTATTTCCAAAATTATTCCATATCATTGTTCATCCCAAGGGCTCATATGTGTTACGAATTCCATTGGTAAATAATCAAGAAGCATAACTCAAAGTATCGGTTTATAACTCCCTTATGGACGATTCAAGCATATAGATTGGAAAGCCCATTTATATGGATATGTTCTACTAGCAAGACATTCAAGTGGATCAATATTTTTGCAAGATTTATCCATAATGCAAAATCTCATTCAAGATTCAGTCGAGGTAAACCAAGGAATTTTGAAATAAAAGGCTAAGAAATTTTTGGGCGCATTGATATGGCCATATTGCGCAAAGTTTGTATTTGATGATTGAGTCAAGTCTACATCGCATTATGTTTATCTTGGTTAAAGGTTCGAGTTTCGACTATTCAAGAAACCATTACAAAGGTTTCAATGGCCATTACAAGTTCTGTCCAAATATCCATTCAAGCTTCAAAGTTCACATTTAAAGTTCATATGGATGGCATACAAAGTACATAGCATCATTACAAGGAATTACACAAAACATTTTCATTCAAAAGTTACTTCATGCGAAACTCCAAATCCTAAACAGATCTAAGGTAGAACTAGTGCAAGCTGTAGATTCATCTCAAAAACTACACACATTCATCATTTTTCTGCAACTGATTCTTCAAGAGAGCAATATCGGCTTCATAAACCAGATCCTAAAACAGTTTTGTTCGATAATAGAATCAGGCTACTACAGGAATCAACCCTGCACTGGTTAAGTGAATTCGAGACTGAAGAAAAAGCCATAAAAAGGGTCCAAGTACAGATCGCACTGCATAATGAAATTAGAAGAAAAAACATCAGAATAGAAAATCAGAAAATAATGGGAAAAGAGCAGTAAATCAGAATTGCCAGCTCATTTCAAGGCCACATAACTGAATTTCAGTTTCAAAAAAATTCTTAACTGTTTCTAATTTTTTTTCAATAAAAACTTCTAACAGAATCTCTAACAGAACGAGAAACCCATAACTAATTTCCAACAACTTACTAACAACCGAAATAACAGAATTTGTTCAGGCCTCTAACCCCTAACCGAATTTAACCAACTGTCAAGCAAAAATCTAAAACAAAATTACCAATTCCCATATTCTAACCAACTAACAAACAATCATTTCTTTTAATTCCTGACCTCTTAACTAGAAGTTAAAAAAAGAAAAACTTCTAACCAACTCTCAGGGAGCTATATAACAGAATGAGGTTCACAATTGAAAGGAGGAGATTCATGATGGTTGATTCAGATAGAAAGATTATAAAAAACTCATCAGAAAATACTCTCTACCTCTTCTCTCTTCTTGATCTCCATAATTTTTCTGCATCTTCAACCTTTTTGTGATTGGTTACCATCACTATCTTCATAAGCAGCCTCCCTGCAACTGCATCATCTTCATCGGTTCTCAAATCATTGGAGAAAGAACACCAAAAACTCAAGCTCTTTCTCTTTGAAACCAGTTCTTTGCTCCCATCATCATCTTTCTCTATCCAAATCCTATGAACATCAACAACAGCATATGCACAACAGAATAACAGAAAAAATCACCAATCTGGATTCTCTCTTCTCTCTGCTTCAATCTTCTAACCAACTCTGCAAAAAAATCTATATAACAGAATTAGCAAAATTCTCTCTTCATTCTCTTTCTCTGTACAAAACTCTTCACAATCTTCTCCATCAACTCAACGTTCATCATCATCATCTTCTGCAAATAAGCTTCTTCTACAGCTGCTCATCTTTGTACAGCTCCAATCTCTGCACGATTCAGGCCATTGAATCTGCTTCAATAGCAACATCATAATAACAACACTTCAATAATCTGCTTTACAGCTTCATCAACATCACAAATCGACAATAACAAACACCACGCCGAATCACACGAAATCGCAACAACACAGAAATGGAGTAGAAGAAGAAGAGTGAATCTGATTATAATCATACCTGGAGTGAGAATTATTCAGTGTTCTATCTTTGTTCGTTGTTGTCGAAGACGCACCATACATTCTTCTACCGGTAAATCTTTGATCTCTTGCAACCTTGTTCTGCCAAAGCTTATGCAAGAACCTTGAAGACACAATGGAATCATGTTTCATCGAAGCTTTGTCGCCATTTGAATCTGAAAAAGAAGCAGGTGTGATATTTTAGGCGCATGAAGATGAGAAGAGAAACACGACGAGGTTCGAGAATTGACGATGATCGTAAGGAAAACGGTGGCGACACTGTGTTGAGGTCGTCGGAGACGAAAGTCGTAAGAGAAGATCACTCTGAATAGCGGTTCGATTGACGATCAACTGAAGCATGAGCGAGACGGCGGTGAGCGTTGTAGATCGGTGGAGTCTGTGAGGCGATGTCGGAGATCGTGAGGTGAGATGTTGGGTTGAAGGAGAATTGCGACAGAGGCAATGGACGATCGAAGAATAAGATGAGAAGTTTCGGCACCGTTCGCATTCAGAAGTGAGAGAAGGAGTTCAAAAGTCCCAATAACTTTTAACCTAAAGTTGAGGCTGGACCAAAATTCCTTCTTCTCAAGCCCATACTACAAGATTTTTGGAAGCTGTAACAAAAACAAAAAAAACAGTTTATGGACTTTTAGAAGGGGCCTAGCGCCTCTTTACTACAACTCACCCCCTGGATTTCTGCCATGTTCCCCCTTTGAGTCTTGGTTTTTGTTTTTGTTTCTTTTTTAGTCTTTTTATTTGATTTCTGGTTTTATTCCTCTTTTGAATTTCAATAATTGAAAATGATAAAAATAGTGGAGTATGATGAAATTTTTCTAGAATTTCTTTTTTAGATTTTGATTAGAATTTTTTTTACTATGGTTTATGTTTAATAATCATTTTGTTTTCTTGAAATTGGTGATTCACCTTTGCTTGTTGAGATCTGGAATCTTATGCAGGTTTATTGCATGATATGCGGACATGTTCGAGGTTTCGATTGTGATTTATTTTGACATCAATGATGCATCGACATTTATTCCGAGCATTTGATTTTTGATTCTTTTCTTTGATTGGTGAAGCTTTTCGCGAAGATCATCGGGTTTCTTTGTTTCGATAGGCTTTGCTACGGATTGATAACCGTTTGGTATTTTCTCTTGTTTATCTCATTTCAGCACTTTACTGCTTTCTATATATCATGAGAAGTAGGAAATAAAGCGCGTGCGCTCAAAGTCACTGTTTAAAGACCTGTAGCAGGCATTCTGCACTTCATTTGCCATATGTGTTGTGCTTGTGTTTGTTTACTTTCTTATCGATTGATGAGTCACTCAATTTAGAAATTGAGATCACGACTTTGCTCTCAGTGCATGCTCCCTATAGTATTTCATCGCTTTCCTTTATTTCTTGTTGATCGATGAGTCACTCAATTTAGAAATTGAGATCACGACTTTGCTCTCATTGCATGTTCCCTATAGGATAGTTTTGTTAGACTTTCTTAGGTAATGATAGTCTAGATAAGATCTATCTAGGTGTGCTCTCTTGAGATTATTGGCTTTTTGTTGGATTTCATCTTTGTTTACATGTTTTGAGATGATATACCCTCTGCATGTTCCCTTAGGAGCTCTCGATTCGACTATAGATGATGATTCAAGATAGACATAGTTTTAGGTGATAGACTCTTGCTATGATCCTTTAGGACTTCTTAATTCATCTATAGATGATAAGTTGAGATAGACATTAGGGTTGTTATCCAAGCATGTCAACATAGGGTAGATATTTCCCTTCAAAACTCAATCTTAGGATCAATCATTGTATGATAACATTAGGGATAGATTTAGACTAGTCTCCCTTAGATGTTTTTCTTTCTTTTGCATCCATGCATTAAAACTAAAACTTTTTTCTTGAAAAAAAGCATAAAACATCTAACAACTTCTAAATCCTTCTTCAAGGTAAAAGATATCAACCAATGCAAACTCTTTTACGCCTTCGGGCTTTTCTTTTAAACTCTTTTCAGAAAGAACATGTTAATTCACTTATGTGCTGACGCATAAATCTCCAAAGGCCGAGTTGCGGCAGAAGGCGAAATTAATGTTGTTCATTAAAAAAATACAAACAAACAAAAACATGTCAGCTGAACTACGGTTGCTCTGATTCCTTAAAAGGGATACGTAGGCATTGGGGTAGGGCCCGAACGAGCACAACTTTTCATTTTCCCTACATTCTTTTCTCATTCCTTTTGCATGCATTTCCTGTACAATTTACATATAGATTTGAAACACACACATAATATAGATAACAAAAGTGGATACCGTAGAGTACTACAAACGTGTGGGGTGCTAATACCTTCCCCTCGCGTAACAGACTCCCTTACCCTTACCTCTTGGTCGTTCGACCTTGATTTCACCCTTCTCAGGTCTACTTGATGTTTACCTTTCCCCTCTTGTGGGATAAAAAATGTTCGATGCCGACTTCATTGATTTCATTATCAGTTGATTGGTCAGCCGATTGTTTTAGCTGGCGACTTCACTGGGGATAGCATGTCGACCAAATGCTGGTCCATCCCGGAGTCGCTCCTAGCTCTTGCTTTCTTCTCTTTGGGTGTTTATCTTTATGCTTTCAGTTTATTCATTCATTTTGTATATACTTGAGCATATGTATGCATTGCATTTTACTGTCTTCCATATACTACTGTTGTACTGGATCTGCTTCTTATTGGGTGGGTGTTACTATGAGGTAAAAGGCCCAATACCCAGGCCAGAGTTGTATACCATAGGAACCCTAGGGATAGAGTGGAACATGAATGGCTAGTTGACTTAGGTCTCACTATTGTCATCATGTCGTCCATGCTCAGATGAGGTACAAATGAGGGGCTATCATTTTCACGTAGGTGATATGGCGATAGTTTTTCAGGAGTACCCTCAATTCTGGGTTACCCGACCTTACCCTGACCTAGTTTTCACCCGTGAGAGGGGAGAGACTTGATTATTACAGGTACAGATGGTGACTATGTTCTGATAGTGACTGTTGTTCTGTTGGTGACTATGTGGGTCTCACATTTATTTTCTGAGTTTTTTGGATTCGGTATTCAGGATGGTTCTTTGGTTATGTTCTGGACCTTTGATCCTGATATATTCATCTTGTCCAGAGATTATACAATGGTTATTCATGGTACTTGGTTCCATTGTGTTCTGAAATTGGTATTGAACCTTTGACCCTGTGATATTCAGATTATTCAGCAGATTTATACGTCAGTTATCCAGAGGATTGTACAGTTGATATGCTGAACTTTTGAACCTATGTCATTGCACCTTGCATCATGGCATGTTTATTTTACACAAAAAAAAAGGTGAAAGATTGTATGTATAAAAAAAGATGTTTGAACATAGCATTGCATCCACTCATTCACCTCGTGTATCTTCGTGCATCTTCATGCATCCATAGCAGGTACTCAGAAGGTACTAAGAATGGGGAATCCTTATTCGGACTCAGTATTTTATTTTCAGAACTGCCAATCTTGACTTCTCGCTGCTTCGTGATCAGATTCAAGTTATGAAACAACTTTCTGGGGAATTGGATGAGATGAAAAGAATCAGATGGGGTTGTTTATTGGGGATATGCAAGCAATGGCCTGTAGTCAGAAATCCTCAAGGGGAAAAATAGCCAATTGAAGACTTAGTTGAGTCAGGTATGGAAGTTTTGAAGACAGTGTCAGCAAAGAAAAGTGATCTTGTATACGTTGTTGCAACAGGAGCTGTCATTCAACCCCAGCCTATGGGACATTTTTTCAAATCATGAGATACTTTGTGGGTCTCACCCAGAGCTTCGTGTTCTCGGATTTTCTTGCTAGCAGCTAGTTTCTGGTATCCAAGTGAACCCATGGGGTAAAACTTACCAGCAGAGACAGAAAAAGCTTGAGAAGCAGGTTGATACAATCTCAATGCCTTGTATCCAGTTACTTCCTCGTGTGTTGGAAGCTCAGTTGATTAAGCTTCGTGCTTTGGGTCATCCTCCAACAAATTTCTCCCCTAATTTTGATGCAAATGCTAGATGTATCTCCCATTCTGAGGAACTTAGTTAGGATATTGAATACTGCAAGGGGCTGAAGTATGAAGTTTGGTACTTGTTTGGCTTCTTTTCCAAGGTTCAGTCCATGTTTGGAAAACCATTTTAGACTCTTTTTCCTCAGCTGGATGCTTCTTATGTGTAAGTATAAGATGGGGTGATGCTTCTGTGATGAAGAAGTATAAGATATCGAGTTCTTGGATATCTGTTGTTGTGTAGAAGAAAAATACCTCAAAGAAGACGGAGATTATTTTGTGAATGAGGAGATTCTTCGTAATTCGGTTGCTAAAACTTCTCTCTTGTAAAGTAAGAGATGAAGTTTACTTTCTTCTGTGTAGTAGAAGACGGAGACTCTTTTGTGATGTGGGAGATTCTCCGTAATTAGGTTGCTAAAACTTCTCTCTTGTGAAGTAGGAGATAAAGTTTACTTTCTTTTGTGTAGTAGAAGATTCTTTGGTATGGTTGTTGGATGTCGCTTCTTTTGTGTAGTAGGAGACGCTCCGGAATTCAGCGGCTGGATTTCTCTTTTGTGTAGTAGAAGATGGTTGGCATTTCTTCTCTATGGTAGAAGATACTTTGTGATTCAATTTATGCAAGTTCGCTTGATAAAGCCTTCATCACATATGGTGAAGGAATTCGATGTGATTACCATACTGGGGCGTCTGGCCATTCAACTGAATATTGTAAACCATTCAGAGATGAAGTGTAAGACTTGCTTGATGCAAAGGCTATCAATTTCGAGTCAGACTGTTAAATTTGAAGTCTCCTTTGACTCAGTAAATGTCAAGATTGCCAGATCATCATTTGAAGCAACAAGTCCATACGGAGACTAGTCTCTTAAACATAGCAATTTCTAGTTTCATTTTCAATTCTCATTTGTAATCTTTCTTGCTTTGGTTCAGTACTTTCTTGTATGCAAAACTTGTTGATTCTTGAATATTAATCATAATGCATCGAATATGTTTGTCTTGAATTAATCCATTCGTATTCACTCATTAATGTTTTTCTTGACTTTTTGATACTTAACTCTTGTTAAATAAAGCAAAAGAACCTCTGGAGGGAGGATGATGAGTAATATACCAAAAATTTCAAGCAGT